GTTCAAAAGACAATAAAGTGGGAAAGAAAAGAATAAAATGCTGTGGAAGTTGTTTATCTTTATAGCTTTAAATCTAAAAGTAAAAAACATCTTAAAGATAATCAACTGTTTCCTGTTCAACACTTGTTTAATCTTGTTTCCTTCTTGAAACACACACCAAAAACAAAAACTTCATAAACATCCGTATTTTTCCTTCTAAACTGTTCCTTTTAAATTTTCCAAATCCCTGAAACTAAAGCTTTGACTGTAGATCCTTTAATTATTTACAATATTAAAGTGAATCTGTGTAACTGCGTGCTATCTGAGATGTAGTGAAAGTGTTCATGGATGTTAGCTCACTTTCAGGAACTGCTGAAACACCACAGAAGTATGAAGGAGGGCCGGCACCGGGGACTGCGCTGACATCATACCCTGACATTTAATAGATTCAGTCTGGCTGCAACTCCCTATGCTCCATGAATGAAACTCTAGTAAAACTCCTGAGTATTTTTTTTTCTGTTGTTACCCCTGACTCATTTACAGAAATAATGATTTTATTGGAAGTTTTTACCACAACTGCAGCTCAGGAAGCGGTTTGTGGGCTTTTCTGTTGTTTCTGGATTAGAGGAAGGAGATGGTAATTGTTGATGAAGACTAAGAATAACATTAAAAACAAATATACCTTAAAAGGAAAGCAAATTGCCTGCCATTTTCCCCATTTTTCATGTCAGTGTTTTAGGCTGAAACAGAGTATATGGAATGAATGACTCTCAAATACAACCATACCAAATCTCAGTCCACTTTCAGCCAAATGGACAGAATTATTGTCATTTTTGGGTTTTCCAAGAGCAATTGCTTATGACAAATGTCTTAAATGGGGTTGGGTCCAAACATTAATCATTTGTAAAAGTACATACAATGATTATTTCCTGAAAGTTACAATAAAATATGTTCAGCAGCTTGTGAGACATTTTGCTAACAGACAGTCAAGTCACGTTTTTTTTCTTCCATGGGAAGACATGTCAAAGGTGGGGACCTCTGTTCTGCTCTTTTCTGGATATATATTTGGATTCCGATCACTGGATTCTACAGATTGGCTTGGTGGTCTCCTGGTGTTCTACAAAACAACGTCGGTGGCTTTTCATTTCCTGGCTGCTTGACCAWTRTGAAGGATGGYCRTACTATCAGCACTCAGAATTTTGTCTTGAGCGARCTGGACTCRGTCTGCAAGCGRTTCTGCTGAGGGTCGCGGGCCAGCTGTAGWTCCTGGACTTTGCTGGTCAGAYGGAATTGATCTTGGAGAAGCTGATAGTATGGCTGGGCGGGATTTGTCCACACTATTTGTCTGATTGGATTCGCCWCCTTGAGATGTACCAGCAGACATTAAAACAGATGGAAAATTGKTATTGTCTGCCTGACTCTTCTGTTCCCAAAACAACTGATTACAGAATCTGGCTCTWCTACATGGCCTTGAGCTGTTGGACTAAATTCTTCCTGGATGTTTACGTCGACTAACGATCGAGTGTGTCGACTGTGATCTGGTTCCTGGAGCAAGCTGAAGGCCGCACATGAACACTTAACATCCATATTCTCAAAGATGCTGCGCTGGTTTTGGGGACCCRATTCTTCGGGCTCATTCTTCAGATATTCACACAAGTGCATACAACACTCATGGCTTCAGATATTCTTTAAAAATATTTTATATCACCTGTTAGCACTTGGAATATGTGATGGGCTACTGATACACCAAATTCCAGGTTCATATCTGAAGAATTGAAATAATTTTAGCTGTTTTTGTTTTTTTAAARATCAGTTGGCTGTGACAGCTGTCTTAAATCAAGCTCACTCTCAAAGTTAATCAGTTCTAGATGTGCATCCAATGAATACATTTGGAAAGTTTCATTATAATTTGTTCAGTGGTTCATGGGATATTTTGCTAACAGACATGGCATGGGTAAAACAGAATTACTCACTTTCATCCAGGAGCTAAAGTATTTAGGGGAAAAAGGAAACAGGGACTGCTCCTTGACATTATTCAGCTGCTTGTGCTGGTCGTCTCACCACTTTAAAATTATTTCCTTTTTCCATAGTTTAAAAGTTTGCCTGAGTTATTTTCCACATGTCTCTCCTTAGAATTAAAATAGGCACAAAAAAAGCAAGGTGGAAAAAAAATAGTCTAGGTAAKTTATCCTTCATTTGGGGAATTCATCTTCCCTTTTTTCCTCTGAGTAAAAGTGGCTCTGCTTAAATAACATAAATTCCCAGTTACTGTAGGCTGCAGCTCTGTTTGTGGATGAGTCGTGGAAGTTACCAGAAACAAAAGACGTAACAGGGACAATAACACCGACGCGACAGATGTGAGACAGAGACCCAAACACACGAGAGGAAGTGACACATCCTGAGTGAAATGAGTGGAAACGGGTTTCTGTCTCATTCCATAGTTTACCAGAAGCAGCTGAGGGGCAATATATGTTTTATTCTGGGTAAAACCTGCCACTCTTTGTCCAAACACTGATGGGTTCACCTCAGATCTGAGCTTTTAACTGTGCATGTTTAAAATGACCTCACAGCCGACCATTCTGAGCTCTTATCCACACTGTTACTCTACTTTTAGAACAAAGCTTGAATTCTGAATTATTGTATCAACATTTGGTTTTATTTGGTTGACAAAGGGTGGATTTGTCAAAGAAGTACAATGTAAGTAGCCCACTCCTCTTCAAAGGCACAAAAACGGGGCTCAAAACGGACACAAACCTCATCATCCTAAATTAAAGGCTTTCAAACGCCAGGAATAGTCTCCACAGAGTGCCCAAAAGGACGTAAAAAGAGGGTCTCATTGTGGGAACCTGTGGGTGCGGTGGTGTAGTGATCCACATCCTTTAACTCCCGGCTTCTATTCCCTTCGTTCACGTCACACGTGACCTGACCGCTGCAGCTTTTGCACCATCCATCCCGTGTGGAGCACCAAGCCACGGTCGAGGGGTATTTCCAATGATTTCATCAGAGGATCTTTTCACATATCAGTGGTAGCAAAGCAAGCCGGTGAATCAACATTAACAAATTGCCTCAGGGATAACAGGGAGGGGGGAACACATCCACATGTAACATCCCGAAACAATAAACACTAGAACAACTTCAAAGACTCTGGGGTCAACTGGTTTGAACTGTCTGCGAGGTGGTTCCTGKGTGTTTTTTATATGTTACAGATGAAATGACTTGTTATGAGTTCATGGGAACTTTCACTTTTACTTAATAACTTCTGTAAACATTTGTAAACAATTATACAGTCATTTCCTTTACGGACAACTACACTACCAGCTCCTGATWGTCAGGCATGTTGTGGGCAGCCTTTGAAACAATGAAAGGTTTCATTAAGTGTTGGGCAACTCTTCAGAATTTTCAAACCAAGACACGGTAATGAATTTACAACATAAGGCCAGAGTCAAAGAGAAATTACGCAATTTGGTTGAGTTTTAAGCTCTAGCTCTGGAGTCCCTCACTCTGAGCTCCTCCTATATGACAGCACCTCTCACCTAATGTCTTAAAGAAGCTCATTTTAGCTGTTTATGTCCAAGATTTGGGTCGCTTGGTCATGACCCATGCCTCACAATCATAGTTGGGTGGAACATAGACTGACCATAAATCAAGACCTCTGCTCCTTCTTCACTATGGCTGACGAGACCCTCATTATTATAGACAAGGACTCAATTCATCTCCCACTTCATCACTTGTGAACAAAACTTCCTCTCAAATTAAAGGGAATATTCTACCTTTTTTTTCCAGTTGATGGTCTCAGATTTGAAGGAGCTGACTCTCATCCCAGCTCCTTTATATTCAGCTGCAAACACATCATCTGCAAAAAGAAGAGTTGAGACTCTGAGGTTTTACCTCCTCTCCACTAGTGAACCTCGACATCCTGTTCAAGAACACAGGATTGGAGAGATAGGGCAACCTGAGACACAGTTCAATCTGCCTCGAGGACACTTCTTGAGTCGGTTCTACAGGGACCAGAGAGGCCTTAAAAATGACCATATCACCTGAGACTTCTGCACAACCCTACAGAATGTCTGATAGAGCGAAGGTCCAGGTCTGGGTAATTTATACAAACTGGGCAATCAAACTCCCATGATGCATTTATGCAAAGATGATGATCAGTTCATTGTTTCTCCTGAATCTTTGGTCCAACAGAGGCTCAAACTCCAGGGTAGACTCTTGTATGGTAATGCAATAAGTTGTTTTACGAGTATATGTACTTATTCATGAAATATCTGTTAATTATGTAAAAAAAAGACCTTTGCACTTACCAACTGCTTATTTTGTTCTTGTGAATTATTTGTCATAACAACATGTGCATGCTTTCGCTGCTATCAGGGAAGGTTGTGCAATTTTGGAGTTTAAATGAAGAAGATTACGATAGAGAAGATGCTGCTCATGACGTCACTCGGTGGAATTTCAAAATTCTGGGGGCAAGCCAAACCAATAAAAAAAATGGCATGACTTATCACGTGAAATATACTCTGTGAGTAAAATGACACAATAACTAAAACATGCCAAAAAATGACTCATAAGTAAAATCTATAGGGAAATATTTGAACTTTTTCTTCTGATGAAAAGGTCATTCTGCTGAGTGCACATCCTGGTTTTCATTTCTCCCGTCCAAGACCCTCTCCCCTCTGACTGATTCTGTTGTTACTGGAGAGCAATCGTGATGGAGTATTGATGATGCAATCTATACACCTGATCAGCTGGTTTGAAGCGGACTGGTAAACACAGACACTTCCAGAAAGCTTGTGAGTCATGCCAACCCACTTGCCCCTGCATGTCGCCAAAGCGAAACTCTCACTTGTGAGAAACAGAAACAGACTGGGACACAAACAGTCTGTAATGAGCCGAAAAACAACTTAGCAAACAGAAAAAAACAGCTATTGCTCACGTATTTTTACAGGCAGTAAACTAAAAATTTGGTGTGGTAGTAGCTGAGAATGAACCTCAGTTGATGTAAGAAGGAACTGGTTGCACAAAGTCTGTTTTTAAAGTTTTGCTGTGTGATTAGTCACTCTTCTTTAGTCAGTTTCGGCGCCTGCTTCTGTCACACTCTCTCACACCTGTGCCGTCTGTCCTTAGCCTCTGTTGTTTCCTCATATCATTATCTCAGCCTTACTTATTCAGCTTGTTTCCAGGACACACTTGCAAAAGAAACCTGTGATCTCAGTAGGATTTGACTGGATAAATAATGGTAAAATACATTTAAAAAAATTCCACTCAGCACAGTTCAGTATCTTCTTGTCCCTCCATATTACCATGTGGAGATCCCTTGTACCTTCCAGTTACTCACTATAAGTTAAGTTTCCGTTGCCCCATCAGCATTTTTTTTTCTTTAAAAAAACATGGTATACTGTGGTTTGGAGTTCCTTGAATTTGTCTGCATTTTGGGTTTTATTGCCAAACTACTGCAACAGAACAAGCTTTGCATTTAGCTACTRTCTAGTGTCGTGGCTAGCCTTTTTGCCAGGGCAGAGATGCGGGAAATAAACAAAGTGGAAACTGTGTGGTCTCGGTCTCAGATTATTTAATAGAAAGGTGCATATGCAAAGAATGAGCAGAGCCAGACAGACGAGAATCGAAGCGTCTGTCAAGCTCACGCTGACCCGRAAACAGGAAAACAGACAATATTAACATCCTGCTAACAAAATAAGAGCGTTGGAGATATCCAGGAAACCAATGACATGGTTACAAATAAATAGGCCATAAGATTACATGAGTAAATGGTACTGAATGGTAAATGGTACTGAACTTATAGAGCGCCTTTCAAGTCCCTCCGGACCCCAAAGCGCTTTACACTAACAGACATTCACCCATTCACACACTGATGATGGCAAACTACACTGTAGCCACAGCTGCCCTGTTGCACAMTGACAGAGGTGGGGCTGCCATACATCGGCGCCACCGGGCCCTCTGACCACCATCAGTAGGCAAGGTGGGTGAAGTGTCTTGCCCAAGGACACAACGACTGAGACGGCTGGACAGGGGAACCAGCGACCTTCTGGTTCCAGGACGACTCACCTAACCACTCCGCCACAGCCGCCCCGCTGAGTACATACAGTATCTTAAGAGTCACGAGAAACAGATTATATAATGGCAGTTTATCAAGAGATACAGAACAGGACATGTCTAGGTAATATGCCGTTAGGGAGTCAAGATATTATAACACTACACTAGCTATGAGGTTTGAGGGTTATACAGTAAGGTTATTCACACACTTATACTTTGAGTTGTTAATGGTGTTACTCTTCTTTAAGTAATACTTACATAAATGCTAATTTAGAGGTCAAAGGTACGTTGTAGATTTTGTCTTTGAACTAAAGTACACATGAAATCTTTAGAAATTAAACATCTTTTCTGTGGTTGATTCACTTAGGCTTGATGTTTCATTGCTTATATCTAAAAAAAGACTCAGTGTTTTATCATTTATTTTCTGGGACATTTTGAAATAAGAAGCAAAATGAGAATGAAGAAATCACTTTATTTAACAAATGACAAGGACACAAATAAAACATTTGATACAGTAACAGAATTTGGGGGAAAACAATCCATCAGTTAAATTGAAGAGGTGATTTGTTTGGGATGAAAAACTTAATGATCATGCTCTTTGTGATTGAATTTCTACAGCTGGCCCTGATGTTGGGTCAGGCATACTCAGGTCTCACTACAAATATGTAGGTGTACTTGTCATCGGGACAGGGATAGGCCGGGACCTGGGTGTCATTTGTAGCAACGTAAGCCAGGTTTCCTTTGAAGCCCTGGATCTGAGAGATGTACTTGTTCTGGCACAACAACAGAAGGCGGTTACGGAACAGGATATTGCGCTCAGAAGTATGTCGGTTTTGGGGATACAGGTTTGCTGCAGGAACTGACGTGCACGTCAAACCATTCCCTGAACATTCATTTTGGCTTGTGAAAACTCTTGCAGTCCAGGCAACCATGTCCTTCTTGAATAAAAGGCTGTTGTGGACAGGTGTTTTGAACCATGCGTTGTCAAAGTAATAAGATGGATTAGGAGTGGGGACAAGGTAATACTGATGATGATTATAATAATTTGATCTGTGCATGGAGTTATATGATGAGCTTCTTTTCAAAGGTTTAAGGACAATGCTCCAGGTCTCAGAGGTATAGATCCTGGGTTTGTAATCATCACTGTTTTCGTTGAAATTTGGATTAGTTGTAAGATTACTGAAGAGTAAAACATTAAACTGAAATGCTTTCAGGACACAGTCGAGATAGGTGCTTTTATGATTCTCGTAGAGGAGAGAGCTGGACTCCAGGTTGTACAGCTTCTCAGCAGAAATCATGGGGAAACGAACGAGACGTAGCAGGCCAACTTGGGTTTCCAAACTTAGGGAGTTGGACTTGTCTGTGATCCATCTTTCCACCGTCTGAAGCACAAAATACTCATCAGGAGCTACCAAATCTGAGCGGGTAAGGAGGGCTTGAAGGAGCTCCACTGGAAGGTCAAACCAAGTTGAGGAACTGGTCAGGTTTTGATAGTTCCAGGCCAGGTACTGGATGCAGTTTTCCTGAAGGATTAAGTCCTCAGTTTCTACTGCGTATTGGTAAAGTGAAAGCGGGGTGTTAAAGGAAGCATCGGGGATWAATTTTGAGAACAGCCGGCCTACGTCCTCCATCAGACGCTTTGCGCCAAAATCTGAAGCCAGCTGATGGATGCACAGTGCAGATGAGGAGGTCACATCGATCTTATGGGTGTACAAGTACCTACCAAGAGGAAGGGGTAAATATTCATTATATCCATGCATGTTCTCAAGCAAAATTTGTAATATTAAGTATATCATACCTGATTAGAGGTCTCAAGTGTGATTTGCAGGGCTTGCTGACCCTAACTGTGAAATTATTCATCTCTACTGAGATTTTGAAGAATGGGTGTTGCATAAGGATAACTTTGTGAGCGCAGATTGTCGTCTCAGTCATCTCTGGAGTGCCGTCATCCTGCATGTTCCCAGTCGGACTCTGGAATGTGATAAGGCAATCGCAGCCTATCCCACTGTCAAATATTTCACCAAGCTCATCTGAGAGSAGAATGCTGTGGTCCAGGGAGCGTGGAGAGATGCTAATGGTCATATTATTGCCTGAAAACACACCATCATTGGGATGAACGTTAAAGAAAAACAACACAGCTGAATTCTGCTGACACAGAGCTTTTAACGTGATGTCAACATGGGTTCCCCAAAAAGAGATCTGTTCCTTATGAGCTTCTACTTACTTCCTGTTTCACAGATAACTCCAACATCCTCCTTATGGGAGCAGTCGGTAACTCCCCAGCCACCAAATGTACAAGACACAAGCTGTTTCTCTGTTCCTTTGCAGCTGATTTCATCCAGCCAAATTGGGTTAGGTGCTATGAATTAAACGACAACAGAGAATAAAAGAAAAGTGAGTTGATGCAGACTTAAAAATATATCAAAAGCTCTATCTGCATTGCCATCTGGTGGAAGATAAACGGAACTACAAGGCACCTTGTCCATAGTCTTTGCCAACAACAACAGATTTGGCTCCAGGGAATTTGAGCTGGTGACACACCACCTGAGCCTCATTCATGCCCCAATTGTCATCACACACAGTTCCCCATTTCCCATCGTGGTAGACCTCGACACGACCCTCTGAAAGGCTCTCGGTACCAAACAGCCTCACATCACCTTCTTGCAATACGGTATTACGTCCTGTGAACACAAATCAAGGCTGTAACAAGACAGATGTTAAAAACCTGCATAACCAAGAGTTCATTCTGAGACAACTGGTCATAGTTTGAGTATGGTCAGAGTACATTCAGTAAATACAGAATACTTGAGCTGAAAACTCACTGAAAAGATCAAGACTGTTTGCTGTTCCTGAAACATACAGGAGAAGCAGCCAACCAGTATGTAGGCCTAGGTTTCCGTAGAAGATCATCATATCCAAATGTCAAAGTTGTAATCTACAACAAAAAGAATGAATGATGTGAGAAAAGAGCTTAGTCTGCATTTACATTATGTAGGTTTTCTTTTTAAAATGGTGTAAAAATACAAAACAGTGCAAAAGTCTTAAGCTATTTATTTCTTTAAAATTTTCTTTCAAGAAAGCAGACTTGATCTTGTAATGATCAAATAATAAAATATGTTACAAATTTTTATTGCAACGCAACAAACAGTTCTGTGTYCAATCTTCCACCTAAAAATGCATACCTTCTTTTCTCTGGTACGGCGCCTCCAACGAACTTCCTTTCAAAGTCTGCAACACGGATCTCACTCACGTCAAAGTCCAGCAAAAGAGAGAGAGGATGTGAATATATTCTGCAGCTGCACTTGTCCACTCCCACTGCTTTTCCACAGTTTCACTTCACAGTAAAACAAAACAACTGAGTGGTTTCACAAGTTTTAAGATTTGTCAAGACATGTTTGAGGGAAGTGTGTGGCTTTCTTATTGCTGTGTTTGTTCAAATAAATAAATAAATAAACGATGAGACTCAGAAAATAGGGATCGAGATTTTACTGTGAGTTTCACCCAGAAAACACAAAAAAACAACAAACAACAAAATGCAAACAGTAAAATTACTTATTTAAAGTTTCCTTCCAATTCTGAGATAAAAAGCATGTGTCCAGAGTGTTTAACATCGAGCAAACAGGAAAAAAGTGTCGAGTATGTGCATGAAAAGACATCTGTTAAGAAAAAAGAAAAACTCAGTTTGATAAATCAATTTTTTTGTACATTCATTACAAATAAGGCTACAGTACTATTAAACCCCACAATTAGGTTTGCCAAGGAGATGACCCTGGACAGCACAAGTTGGCACTGCAGTATTTCGATATAGATCGAAATAGAAGACCTCATTTTTCAGTCTCAGCTTTAAATTCTTCAGTGCAACAACCCTTTGAGGGTTGGAGTTACGCATTTTCTAGGAAGCAGCGAGTCCAGAAAGTCCAACAGTGACTGGATTGTAAACAAACTAGAACCACAGTGCCATGGCCTTAACAATGATTCTGTCTCTGACCCCCTCTATATAAACTCTAAGCCCTCATATTTTACATCTCCAATCTTGGCTTCAGGTAAAAGAATGCGACCATCGAGCGTGAAGGCCGTGATGTAAGTCGCGATCTTTCCGGCATCCTCTTCTGACTTAAGCGCCAGAATGATCTGGTCGTCGGTGTTTGGGACAAACTTGAAGGAGGAGAAGCCGTGAGTGGGGTTCTGCAGTCCAACGCGGCTCACTTTGATGTCGTTGAAATTTGCGGAGCAGCTCAGGACGATGTTCGTACCGCGCCGCTCGTCTGCCGTCTCCTCGTACCGCTCTTTGCTCGCGCGACGGGGGAGGAAAAACCAGCGCTGCAGGTTGTCACTCCAGGCTGCGGATTCGTGAATTAAATAACCTGCGGAGGAATTCAGAAAGAGCTCAAACACAAAGAAAGGAACTGGGGCTGGTTGTAAACAGAAAGATCATGTTTGTTTGCTCACCTGGTGGCTCGATCCCTGCTGCCAACTTCAGAGAGGTGTACCTGGGAACCCAGTTCTCGTGTTGTACGTCCCCCTTGAAGCCCACAACTTTCACCCACTCTGGGTTGTTGTTGACAAACTCACCCTCGGTGGTGGTCCACTCTTTTCCCAACCCACCAACGTACAAGTGCTCATCTTTTACCGCCAGCCACTCCGCTTTAAACCCTGCCGGGAGAAGGCACAGCAGTGTGAAAAAGCTGAATTACAAATACAAGTCTGTCAAGAGTTTCAGTTTCGGGAAGCACAAACCTTTAGCAACACTCCCATCGCCGTCGGGTAAGATAACCCACGGGATGGCCTTGTCTCCATCTATGTGGTAGACTACACCAGTTCTGTCATCAACAGAGTAGAGCTTCCCGTTGAACACCACCAACTCAGACAGCTCCATTCCTCGGCCTTTCTCCGACAAGTGGCTCTCCAACACCACCCTGTCCGTGTCCCACTCCACCGCCACCTTGTCGCCGCTCTCCGACACCAGCAAGTATCCCTTTCGCAAGTAGCTGAACCACGTCAGCTTCTTGTCACTCTGAGAGTTCGTGTCCAGGTCCGCGATGACCCCGATGCGGTAGCGTGTTCCTTGCGGGGTACGTTCAGGCGGACTGAGAGGGTAGGTGTCATTGTACCGGGTATCGGCATGCTTGGTGCTGGCGCAGTTGGATCTCGTAGCAGGGGGGTTGTAGGAGCGGGAGCCTGAACCCAAGTGCATGAAGAGCAGCAGGACCAGGGTCAACGAGACGGCCACAAGCACAATGGGCCTCCACTTGAGGCGGAAACGAGGGTCGGTGGTATTGGCCATGGAAGCCAACATAGGAAGACCACCTACAGAGATATGAAGCGGGTTCATAGACTCATTCTGCTCCAGTCGAGTGAAGCCTGGGGAAGCAGGCATGGAGGAGAGAGGCCTAGACTGACCTATGACAAAAAAAAACAGTGATTAAGTTTACTTTAAGACAGACTTGAACCAAATGTTAGTTTGTACTTGTAGTGCCTGTAGAAAACCCATATACGTAGGTTCTCCATGGTCACCCTTCAGGTTAGACAACGTTTTCATTTTTTTTTTTGTTGTTTCAAAAGACAGCCCACACAAAGTTGGGCTTGGCAGTCCAACGCACAATCTTTTGTGTATATCAGCAATGCCATAAAGCTGTTACACTTGTTTTGCAAGCCATCACAAGTGCAAAAGGTTTTCAGAAAAGAAAAAAAAACTCATAAATGAGAGCTAAAACACTACCCAAAATAATTTCTTAATTTTACCACAGGTATAGCTGAGAATCAAAGAGAAATAATCACAATTTAAGTTTAACAATTACATTGTTAACAAGGACATTACTTGAAATCATTTCCTTAAATCTATAACTAAAACAAACTTACACACCTCTTATCTGTCTTACGTTTGTCCAGAATAGATGGAAGTCAAATCTATCACCTGAGCCAGTATTTTATCTTTCCCCCCCCCCCCCTCTCTCTCTCTCTCTCTCAAATGAAAGTTCATGCAAGTGTGTGTTAAAGCATGAGCAGAAGCAGGAAGAACATCCGTCTTGAGGCGGAGCAAACGTCAGGTAGTGACCAATATGCTGCGTCTAAATGGAAGGTGAGTGGAAGTAATAAAATTACAGAGGATTTGAAGCAGGAAACACTCGCACTTTATTTGACACCGGTACTAGGGCTGTGAAGTGGCGAGAATTTGGTGATGATATATATCACAGCACAAGGATCAAAATACAATGTATTGCATTTGCAAGAAATTGTGTTACTGTGAACAAGGTGATATAACGTCATTGTTTTCTCCAAAATATTCTAATTTTAAAAAACTTACTATAAAGAACACACCGTGCATTATGAAATCTGAATAAATTCATACACTAAACAACAGTGAGAACTGCATTTGTATTTCACCTTTTTTTTCTTACAACATCCATCCATTAAAACTTCATTAAAAATCGATACAGTGCTTTTAAGAAACGTTACAGTATCAAGTAATGAAATATCGCTATATTTCAGTATACAAGTTTTTTCTTACACCCCCAGGTACAATTAAAGACTTCATCTAATTATTTGAAGTAGGGCCATAAACAATAATTCATTATTCAAACAATGAAAAAAAAAACTTAAGTAGCATTTTCTGTTAGGTATTTTATAATGAAGTAAATAAAAAGAGAATTTATGTGAGCACAATTATAAAATATATTCTAAGAAACATTAAACTCATTAAGAGACTAAACGTATCGAACTGTTGCTTCACTTTTATTTTATTTTATTTATTTTTTGTTATTATATTTTCTTACATGTATTGTAGTTTAAAAATGCTATTTTGACTTGAACAAATCAGTGTTTGTCATGTTTGCAAAATACATCATGATTTACTGGAATGTTTCATTGAAACTCTCAGAAATTAACCATTGTATGCACAACTACAACTGATTAACTTTGAGTCAACCCGGTTCAAGAAGGCTGCCACAGCTCAAACTCAGATATAAGATGGCTGAAACTCTGTCAAATCAACTCATATTCAGCTCAAATTTAATGCAGTAGTAGCTGAGAGTCTTCCAGGACACAAACAAATTGTGTGATGTGTGAGAATGTACGGTCATTATCAAAGTTTGACCAAAACAACTACAACTCCCCATCTCAACATGTGGTGGTCTTTGTTGTAAAGTTTGACTCGGGTGGTCTTATCTAAAAGATAATGGGTATTTTTCCAGCTCAAGAAGATAGTATAAACTTGAGAAAGTTACACGGCACGTGAATATTTGCTGCAGCATTCAATAAACTAGTGTGAGCCTTCAGCTGAGTCAACAATCACAGGAAAATTATCCATCTGCAGCAGTGCAGCCAGCTGTTAGAGAATTAGAAAGAGAAAACTTGTATGAGATCAGCTCAAGTGAAGGTTTGATTCAGGAGCTGCAAACCAGGCCTGAACATGAGGTGCAGTTTTCCAAAGCCAGACCAAGACCTGAAAGACCCTTTCATAAGAGCCAGAAAGGCAACCCATTATGCCAGTATCGTCAGGGCTCATACTGAGGCCAGCTTTACTAACATCACCTCCACGTAAACTAAAAAAAATAAAAAAAGAAGAAGACCAGGCTCACCTTTTCGTCTCCTGCCAGATTGCTTCACTTGAGCCATTAAACTTTATTAAAAATAAAAAACCCCAACACTATCAGCTCCAATCTTTAAACTCTCACTCGGCTCACAAACTATTTAATGTGCGATCGTGACTGGTTGCGGTTTCAGTCCAGCGCTTGTGAACTTTACCTATACTTGGAAGATTACGCTCCAGCTCAAAGGGGACAAATCAGGAGACCGGCCCAGTTCATTGTGTCATCATTCACTGGAGTAATCTATAAGCTCCCAGGAAGCAGGGAAAACATTTATGGACTGATTGGTAAAAGGTGAAAGGTGGAAACTCCGTAGGAAGAATGGAAGTTAAAGGGAAGTGTTGGTTTAGTGAAGAAACATGGATTTTTACATAACACTGTTGTTTTTGTGATGCAACCAATATTCAGAGCAGACTGAGGTCACGGATCAATCTGAGCGTAACACATGATGTACTCTAGAAACTAAGCACAGGAACATAAAAGTACCTATGACTTGTGGTAACGTTTGTTAATGACTGACTAACTGGAGAAATAAAAGACCTTCTGTCCATGACAAGTGATTAATACATCTGAGCTTCTCCAAAGGGTTTCTACTCAGAACGTGTTTTCATTCAGCCACAAAGCTACAGAGCTGATTGACAGAAAACAGATTAAGTTCATATCAGAATATAAATAGCTACAATAAAAATATATATTAGATTGGTTATTTCTTGCCATACACTCGTTTGTTTTTTGCTTTCTGGGCAGATTTGGTGCAGATCAGATTTCTGGGAACAAGTCAAAACACTGATCTGTTTCTTTCAAAGCACGGACGAGTTTTCCCTCAGCTCACTTACTAATTTCACCATATCAAAACAAACGGATATTAAAACCCCCGTCAGTTGTGTAGAAAGATGTTTTGCTGTAGCTACACACAAATATGAATACACATTCATAAACACTATTACACCAGCCATCAGTAATGGGTGATAATAATGTTTTTTTTTTTAAACTTCAAGGCACTTAATGAGCTGGAAACTCATCATATCCTAGTTTTATCAATATTACTACTTTATTAAATATTTCTGTACATTAATGCATTCTGTGAAGATACATCACAGCTCAAAGGATCTGAATATTTTTGGTCATTTTCTCAGTAAAAAATATTTTAACATTTTGCATTAGAAAAGAAAAAAAATCTTGCAAAGTAAAACCTATACAGGCAGTATCCAGAAGTTTCCAGTTTTACACCTCAGGACACCACCAGAGGTCTCTTGTGCACCTGAAAAACCAGTTCTGGCAGAATCATGGTGAGGGTTTTGCTGTTGTGGCTATTACAATGCCAGCGACATTGACGCTTTGTAAGAAATATGAATTCATTTTTTGAAAAGATAACAATATAACATTTAAGCAAAAACAAATTTCACACCGCTGAGGTGAACAGTTGTTGAGATATTCACACGTAAAGTAACAGGAAGTGATGATGAAGGGGAATGTCTGAACATTGACACAGCAGCCGACAGCACAGACTGCAGACAAGAATCTGAATAATCAGACAGATGAAAAAGAGAGAGTTCAAATAATATTGTTTCAATAAACATGGAGTTCCTCGTCCACTTTGATGTCACTTCTGCTTCCACACTGACCGAGCCATGTTTAAGAAAATGTGCCAGTTGTTTGACCAAATGGGTAAAATAGTGTGTATTGTGACAAGTCTCTTGAATATAAAAGGTGTTTTTTTTTTTTTACTTTTTATATTGGAATGATATGCATGTCACAGGCACTTTATCAGCTCACTCTATTGGTAAAAATACTGCTGCTTATGAAGCCCAGATTATGTGCCTGTTTGTCATATAACCATCATTATCCAAACAATAAAGTGTTTGACAAATTAACTTAGGGTAAAATCTATATAAAAAAAGAAAGTATAACATAATGCATAGTTTTACTTGACCTAACACAAGAAAGCCCTATTTGATACCTTTTGACAGGAAATGTTCAGAGGAAACATATTAAAGTGACACAGGCTCTTAAATAAGTAATTGACAGAGAACATCTATGTTGAAGCCCAACTCACTTTATATTTAGTTTTGTCCCATAGAAGCTACAATAACCATGAACTAGCAGACAATTTCAGGCATTTCCTCCTTAAAGGCCTTTTAAAGCTAAAATAATTCACCTCTGACCTCTAACAGCTTCACCGAACCAAAGAGAATTAAGTTATTAATTTTATCCATCCCCATCTACTAAAAGAAAGGGAAATGTTTCAGGAAGTGACAGACGAACCTTCGCATGAATGAGTTTGGCTTGGCATGTTCGAGTCCGAGCTGTCCTCCTCCCTGCCTGACTGAGATGCCATCGCTGCTGTGAGAAGAGCCCTGAAGCCCTTCTGATACGGCAGCGTCCCACACCGCCTCCAACTCACCTCAGGTGTCGGGGGTTCAACTAGTGACAACGGTCCGGTGATGGTTGGAGCTCAGGCGTCATTTTTGTGTCGCTCTTTCTTCTTCTTTGGCGTCGAGTAAAGACGGTCACTACTTCCTGTCCTGATGACGACAGCACGGCGTTGCGTCTGCGCAGTGCGCGCGCAGAGGAAATGTACGACGCTGCGTTCAGGTGCTGTCGGAATTATGAAAACTAGTCCTTCTAGACCAGTGGTTCCCAAACTTTAGATCTTCTGACCCACAAAATATTCATGGCAAAAACTTGTGACCCCAAATATTACTGGTCTGAGTACACAAACGTCGTTAATAACCCTAAGAACACGGGCTTTTTGACAATCTAAACAGCTTGTACACAAATATAAATACTTATTTATACTTATTTTGTGTTTTTGTAATAATTATAGGGAAAATATTACATCAGCAATTATTTTGTTATCCTTTAAATTGATTTCTGGAGATTATCCAAGGTGCTTCTTGACCCATAATTGGGTCCCAAGCCCAATTTTGGGAACCAAAGTGCAGTGGTTCCCAAACTTTTCAGCTTTTGACCCACAAAATAACAGTAGCAGAGACCTGTGCCCCCAGCTATTTTTGGATGATAAACATTTGTATCAGGTCAACTAAACATGGACATAGTAACAATATTTTTATACTACATTTATCCTTTCTAAATATACTAACCTCACTCCTTTGCAACAACTAAGGCAAAAATGTAATTAATTCAGAAAATCTTTTCAGGACCCCACCTTGATGTTTCGGGACCCCACTTTGGGTCCCGACCCCAACTTTGGGAAACACTGTTCTAAACAGTGAACTCATGTGTCCATTCATTTAGTCTTCTTTTGGCAACAACAWAGCCTGTTAGTTAAAGTGTTTATTTATTAGAAGCAAAGGAGAAAGAATAATGTACAATAATATTTCATGTAAAAAATACACAATTTAATACTTTAAGTATTTCCCCTTCAAATTACATAAACCAGACCTACTGACATTTTTAAACATTTCCGTCTTGTCAAAGTAGTTTCTTATATTCGATTTTTTTATTGGATCAGATTTGTTCCTTTACAACATCACATAAATATCTGCAATGTGTAAATTTTATTCACAAGATTTTTTAGGAACAGGTAACATCAAATTAAATAGTTTCCCTCTATTTGTGGTGCACTTCCATTACTTGGCCAGCAGGTGGCAGTGAATAATGTGCCTCTGTGCCTTTTAAATCTAGTTTAAAAAAATCATCTTTCAACAAATTGTCCACCTTAACAGTTATTCATTGAATAAAACAAAGACTATTTCAGTTTGAATTACCATACAAATTCACCGGTTGAATTTCCTCATTTAATCAACTTCCTAATTTGACACCTGTCAAAAAATCTCTTTGATGCATTTATGAAGCACCGTCATGTGTGTACAGTAGGACTTTGTCTTTTGTTAACAAGCTCCTCCACATTCAAACAAAACCAAGTCAAACATTTGCTAAAAGGGTGTATAAAGCACCTGCACAGGGCTGACCTGTTTCTTTTAAAGCAGGATATAAATTATAGGCTGACCAAGATGAACTGGAACAGTTTTTATTTGGCAAACCCAGTCTGATACAGAACACTGTATAAGGCACATAAATGTGGAATTACTCTTAAGCCATTGAAGGAAACAGTAAAAGTCACAGGAGGCGATGAAAAAAAAAATCAAGTAGAAAAAGCGCTATTAAAAAGTTTGGATGTCAATCTTAAGCAAGATAATAAATATATCTTCAGTTTATTACTATGTATCAAAATAGTGCCAAAATAGTTTGATTTTCCTTTTTTTTCTTTGCTAATATCTGCATCTGAGCCACACCACAAACCAAATGATCTGGATATGTCGAAACAAGCAGCATGTAAAAGTTTAAAAAAGCTATAGCAAGTTCAAACTGCAGAAAAAGAAATTATCAGTGCATTTAAACCTATTTTCAGTGGTTAATTGAAAAACCATTACAGTAGATAAAAGAAAATAATTCCTACGAGGTCAAACAACATTTGCTCAACTAGAAATCAAGTTATGTCTGTGAAACAGTTGCTATCAACATTAGAACAACAATATTAAAAAAGTACTTTTGCGTTCCCAACAGTAACACACACACGTAAAATATTAAATTCTCAAACTTTTTAACCCACAACAGATTTTCTTCTTATTGTTTTGCTTTTGGTTTTAACAAATCTAACTTGGAATCATATCTGAAACTATTTAATTACTCAGCATTTTGGTACAAAGACAACAAAAGTCAACCTTTCAACAAGAAAAAACAAGTCTCTTCAGATTTCAGTTGTGTCAAACTTCAACTAACAAAAAAAACATCCATAAAAAACAAAAACAACGCGCAATCACGATGCAGCAACTTTGATAACAATAAAAATAATAATAATAAAATCAGTGTGGCCACGAGTATGGAAACACTCCAACAGAAAGATGTGCCGAGAGCAGCAAAACTAATGGCACGTCATTCAACAAAAAAAAAAAAAAAAGAAACCCACCCTCCTCACTACGATTTACACGCCTGAATCTCAGTTCTTCAGTAATTTGGGGGCTGGTACTCTCCTGGGTTCCCCTGGTTGTTGGAGAAAGGTGACTGCTGGTAGCCTGCGGGGGCAGCATTGTTGCCGTACGGGTACGGAGCGGTGTGGTCGTGGGCCGGGTCCGTGTAGTCCTGGTTAAATTCACTCACTCCCTGGCGATACCGTCCGTACGCAAAGTAGAACAAAAGGGCCTGTTGGAAGAAGCCAAAATGAATGGGTGGAGCTTTTCCTTACAACAACAATTGAACCGGTTGAGTGTGTTTGAAGGTAGTTATTTTGATTCTGGTGGTAACGCACGACAGAGATCAAATGCTCACCCAGGTGATGATGGAGAAGAAGGCGAAGGTTAGAACAGCCCTGCCAGCATCAGCTATGACCGTTTCAGGATTAGTTTTGGACCACTGGTTGGCCAGGACACAGAAACAGATGAACCACAGGAACGTCCAAAAACCTGTCGCGTGTTAAAGGCAGGGAAATAAAAACAAGCTCGAGATTAAAAAACAACCTGATTTCCAAAAAACTGATACGTTGTTTAAACATTTTCTTTGTTTTTAAGCAGAATGTTTTATTTACAATGGAACTGGAAACTGTACATCTTAAGCAATAGAAATGGGTATTTTTGAATTTGATGGCAGCAACACAACTCTAAAAGGTTGTGACAGGAGCCAGCATATACAAGTTTTAATAATAATAATAATAATAATAATAATAATAATAATAATAATAGAATTCATTTATAGGGCACTTTACATTCATAAATCTCAAAGCGCTACAAAAAATGATAGGTTTAATGGTTTTAGAACAACAACCATCCAAATGATGACTTCTTCAGGGAAGAACTTGCATATTTCAGCAATACAGTTCTAAACTGAATACCACATGATTACAACAGCATGGTTTTTGCTAAAATCCTACATCAGACTGGAACATTTATTTACAAAAACTCCAGCAGCTGGTCTCCTCAGCTCTTAGACATTTACAGACTCTTGTTAAAAGAAGAGGGGATGCTTCACAGAGGTAAGCATGAGTTCGTCTCAACATCTGATGTGTTGCTAAGCTGTCAATAAAACCGATTCTCACCCGAGAAGGCCAGATCTGCAGTGACAATGTATTTCCTTTCATTGGCATTGCTGATGTTTGGAAAGTGAGCGTCCAGTATCAGGAAGGCAACACAGGCTAGAAAGCCCAAGACTCCAATTGCCACACCGAAACCACAAGCGTGGTCGTTGTCGTTGAACATGCAATGGGTCTCTTTCAAGGTGGTTGTATTCGTGTAGCCTTCTGATGTAATGGTTCCAAATACCACGATGGAAAATATCTGCAAAGGAACAAAAAGCCACAAGTTTACTTGCAAAGGAAAGCAAAGTGAAAAGTGTCCTGCCTACAATAAGGTGGCATGGTTCACTTTCCTTCCTCTTTCGTAAGAAAATGGATAAAGTCATGTGATAAGACACCTGTCAGGCCGATTTAGACATGTGAAACCCTCAAAAGTTTCAGTTTTAAACAGGTTTTAACAAAGAAAATACTGTATGGAAAACATTTAATACAATGTCCTTGTGTTTTTGGAGGAGGTAATTTAAACAGTGCATCAAGACAAAACTAAAACACATTCATATGCCGGTTTCTAATATTTTTTGTTTTTAAAAGAAAAGCTGCATGCATTTTATGTTATAGCTGCATAAAAATAATAATTTTGTTTTGGATTTGTGTAATAATAAAAGGACAGTCCTCTTAGCATACACTTTACTGGTGCACATCTGTAAAATAGACAAAAGGTATAGAGAGGCAGGTAAGAAACAACAGAGAACAGCAGGTAGAGAATAAAAGGCAGCAGTAGGTAGTAGGGCTGCCATGATTAATCGATTAATCGATGACTAATCGATTATTAAAATAATCGATGACTAATTTAATAATCGATTAATCGTTTTCTTTTTTTTTGTTCTTTACTTTGTTTTTCTCTCCAAACTGCTTTGACACCTTCCACTGCCACATCTGCCTTTCTGTCCTTGACACACATGCACAGTAGTGGTAACTGGGGAAGGCCGTGGACGTCACAAGACATTATACAGATTATACAGACAGGCTCTGGT